TATTTTGGGGTTTATTTACCGCTACGGATCACTCCCCTCCTAGTGGGGTAGTGATGACCTTAAGACGTGGCCAGACAGAAGTTTAAACCCAACGGATTTTTCGTTGGTAAACACTCTTCTGATAGCTTGATAGGTTTAGCAGCGTCTGGTCGTCTTTCCTTACTATAAGGGACCATGAAGTACAATATAGTAAAAAAAGAAAAACTAGAACGAAAATTTCCGTTTCTCGAAAACTTCACCGTTCTTTTTATCGTCTTTTCCAGCCGTCCTGGAAAAGAGAAAAAAGTATGTAAGTGCATGCGGAAATACACTCGTACGCGGGTACAAACTCAAAGCGGGTGAAAAAAATGGAAAATAAACTCATGCTCACGCAATAGAGTAAAAAAAGGATTTCTATAGTATCGTTTTTTGTTTTGTTTTTTTGAGATAGAAATAAAAATAAATAAGCATATTAAATTTGGTTTTTTTTAATTATACATAGTGCAAGGGAAAATCGAGACGATATAAAATGTAAACTTGCATCTTACGTTCAGTAATCGTTCAAATGTTCTGGAAATCTTACTCTTCTTCCAGAACGCATTGTTTTGAGTTTATTTTCTGATACCGCTAAGGTATTAACGTGTGTGTCGGCTGTCGATTGAGGTATTACAAGGGAAGGAGTTGTGTCGTGCGATCGTACTGAAGGAAAGTCGAGGTGAATAGGATTTCCTTCTAAATACGCTGCTTTGGGGCTATCGGTGATGATGCTATCGTTGGTTCCGTCCTTATCGACTATATAGTACTTGGGTTTGCGTTGAACAACTTAGAAACGTCCTTCGTATGCTGATTCGAGCGGTCGTCGATGTGGGTCTCGACGAACAAAGACGTGTGTACTATATCGTAAGTAAGGTTGAACAGAAACATTGGTTGATTGCGGTCGAGTGGAAACATGTTTATCTGAACTCGTTGCGCTTGTAAGCCTGTTCGTGTAATAGGTTAGATCCATGTTCATCGAAGAGGATGAAGGATCCACATATTTTCCTGGAAGTCGAAGGGTCGTACCATAAAAGAGTTGAGACGCAGAGTATCCAATGTCAGCTTTCACTGCATTGCGAATACCTAGTAAGACGAGTGGAAGTGCGTCAGTCCACTGAAAAATGTTTGAGGCTGATAGTGATGCTTTCAATTGTCGGTGAAAGCGTTCTACTAACTCGTTTGCTTGTGGGTGGTAGGCCGTCGTTCGGAAGCGAGTGATTCCTAATATTGTGGTCAGACAACGGTAAAGTTCGGATTCGAACTGGCGTCCACGATCTGCAGTGATGGTTGTTGGGCAGCCGAAGTTTGCTACCCATCGTTCGACGAAGGCGCGGGCCACTGTTTCAGCAGTAATGTCCTCGACAGGCAGTGCTTCTGGTCCTCGAGTAAAACGGTCTACGCAGGTTAAAAGATAAGAATATCCATTCGAATCTGGTAAAGTTCCTACCAAATCCATATGAACATGGTCGAAGCGAGCATCGGGAGTTTTAAATGAGCCTAAGGGATACTTGTTATGTCTAGTAACCTTAGATTTCTGGCAGCTTACACAGAAGCGTGCCCACTCCCTCACGTCTTTATTCATACCAGGCCAGAAAAACCGTTGTGCTATAAGGTTGATGGTTGCACGAACACCTGGATGAGAAAGTTTGTGCAATATATTGAAGACGTTGCGTCCATAATGTTTCGGCACGATTGGGCGATCCCTACCTGTAGATGTGTCACACAGTAAGGTTTCCTTACCTGTTCCCACCTGCTTAATGCACAGTTTAAGTGTTGTTGAGGACAACTCGGGCTGAAGATAAGTGACTTCTTTTTGAAGCTGGGCGAGTTTTAGAAGGTCGATTCCTTGGAAACTGTTCAAGGAAGTTATTCGAAATAAGGCGTCTACACCTACATTGCTGTGTTGAATATCTGAAGTAGACTGCGAAATGTAGTCCAGCTGTCAAGACTCACGTGGTGAGTACTTGTCTTAAGATGAGCTTTAGGAGAAAGTAACTGGTTTATGGTCAGTGAAAAGGGTGAATTCTCGGCCTTCGATATAGTGTTGAAAATGCTGTACAGCACAATACATAGCTAGGAGTTCCCTACCGAATGTACTGTACCTCGATTCAGTGTCTAGCAACCATCTAGAGAAAAATGCCAAAAGTTGTTAGGAGTGGTTAACCCATTGTTGTAAGACTGCTCCGAGTGCTGAGTCGGATGCGTCTACTGAGATACTAATGGGTGCTCCAGTGTCATGATGAGCAAGCATGGTTGCTTGAGCGATACGTTCCTCAACTGTGTAGAATGCTTTTTGCGCGGTGTCATTCAGATTGATGGATTTCGCATTTTCACAAAGTTGGTCGGTGAGAGGTTTCATAAGGGATGCGCGTTTCGGTATGAACCGTCCATAGAAACTTACAAGGCCGTTAAACGTGCGCAATCGCTTCATGGTTGTCGGTTCTGAGTAATCCAGAATGGCCGCCACTTTTGTTCTAAGTGGTCGGATACATTGCGCATCGATAATGTGTCCTAGGAAGCGTACGGAGTCAGTTCCGATCTGGAATTTCTGAATGTTTGCAGTAATGCCATGTTTTTGTGGTCGGCCGAAAACAAGGTCCAGATGTTGGAGATGTGATTCTCTATCCGGACTTGCTACTAGGCAGTCATCAACATATGCATGTACGAAGTTGAGACCTCGAAAAACGTCATCTATGAACCTTTGGAAGGTCTGTGCCGCGTTTCTCAGACCGAAAGGCATTCGCAAAAATTCATAGAGTCCGAAGGGCGTTATAATAGTGGTTTTCGAAATATCGTCAGTGGCCATAGGAATTTGGTTATAGGCTTTAACCAAGTCGATTTTCGAAAAGACAGTTTAACCTTTCAAAGTAGCTGTCAAATCGTGGATGTGAGGCAACGGGTAACGATCGGGAATGGCTTTTGCATTCAATCGCCGATAGTCACCAGTTGGACGCCAATCGTTGCTTTCCTTTTTAGGGACCATGTGCAACGGGGATGCCCACGGGCTGTTTGACGGTCGTATGATTCCTAAGTCTATCATCTTGCCATATTCGTTTTTCGCCAACCTTAACTTTTCGGGGGCCAGTCAGCGTGCTTTAGAGAATACAGGTGGTCCTGTAGTCCTTGCTGGTTACACACGGCGATTTCGGTTGCGATTGGTAAATGCCAGAATACTTATCGAGTAGTGGTTGATAGAGGGGTCTATAGTGTGCCTAATAGTGACAGTAGATAACCTGCAATCAGAAAAAGAAGTTAAGCAAACAGATAAATGAGTATTTCCGTCTAATAGCCTCGTTTGCGCATATCGATGATTAAATTGTGGTGCTGTAGAAGGTCCATACCAATGATTGGCATAGAAACATCTGCAACAACAAAAATCCAGTGAATAGGTTTGCGTAAACCCACGTTAAGATAAACGTACACTTCGCCTTACGTAGCGATAGCCTTTCCGCTTGCCGCCTGTAAGTTTAGGACCGGTTCGTGGAGCCAGTCGTTGGAATTCGCTGGGAGAACGCTAACTTCTGCTCCAGTATCCACGAGGTAGCGAACTCTCGTTATCACATCTGTGACATATAATAGACGGCTATGTTCGCCGCCTACGGTTGCCGTTAACGCGTGCCGGCTTGAAAGTTTCCCGAATCCTCTTTCGTGTCGATCTTTTTTGAGTTCGGAAAATTGCAGGGTTTTCTGAAATTTCTGGAGGACTTTCCATACTGGTTATGTTACCAGCACCAGTCAGGGTTATCCATCTCTTGAGGTCTAAAGACAAATCGCCAACGTGAAGTGCTTCTTCGCGGGGTGTATGAACGTTTACGGTCGTTACGAAGTTTAAGATAACGTGTAAGTGTATGACATAACTCTGTTATATCGTTCTGGGTCGTTTGAATCTTTTCTTTGACTGAAAAAAACCTCGGCATTAGAAGATTTGTTGATTTCGAGGATACGGTCGGCAGACGCAGCCAGCTCGTCTACGGCGTTGTTTTGAAACGAGACCAGCACAGCTTACACCTGTTGAGGAAGTTTGGATAAGAAACGTTGTTTGAATAGGCCATCATCGAAGGTTCTTTGGTCAATAACTTCTCTAATTCTTTGCAACATGTCTGTGGCAGAACCGTGTTGCAGGTCGATATTATTAAGGAGTTGGTCTAACCTTTGTCGATCGTTTAGATCTCCGTGTTTAAGAACAAATCGTTTAAGTTTCGTAGGGTTCAGAAACATCATTAGTAAACATACTAGGTGTTACGGACCCGTTGAATTCGCTCAGTAGTGCCTTGACTACTGTGAGAAATTGTTTACGTGTGTCATTCACGCCGTATTCTCAGAAGTCGGCTTCTGCGTAGCAAAACCAGGCTTCGATGTTGTCTGGCCAGAAAGGCATTAGTTGGAACGGAGGTGAGGACATAGTCTTTAAATTAAATACATTAGGTGTCTGTTCAGTCATATTGAAGTAGCAAGTACGAGAATGAACGAGTGGGAAATATATATATCCAAAAACAGGGAAAAAATATTACAATGTACAAAAAATTAAAATAAGGCAATGATGCATAAAATCCAAAAAAGGAACAGACTCACAGTTTGCAATTTAGTGTACCAGATCACGTCGGGCTCACCAATAAAGATGCCACAGGTATTCGGAGTTTGACAACACTTTAACCAGTAACACCTTCTATTATAAAGCGTACTCACCAAGTGAAACCAGAAGACAGAAGCGAGGAGGTTCGAAGATACACTTGATAAGCTATCAATATATCGAGGATCGTCTGAACTAATCTGGTTAGCGATTGCAGTAGATGTTGAGCACGGCGTCCCCACACGTGATCATGACCGAGCGCCTTTAGCCAGGTGAGTCCATTAAAACTAATGTGGTCAGCATTCAATGTCGAAAACTTACAGAGCTATTTATTTACTGCTACAAGCTATTTGAACCTGTAGACCGCTAATGTACATGATCTGTGTTGTGTAACTGGGGGCTTACTTGAGTTAGACGGGAATTGTGTGACTAACCAGCCTCCGTTGAAGTCACACCTTTAGGTTAGTACCTAAAATGGATTACTCTTTCTTCGCATCCAGGTACTATGGCCGTTTTGATGACTGTACAACACAAACGACGTTGTTACACAAACATACTAGTAAGAGTAGGTACAAGGAAAAGAGTGCAGCAACTTCTGTATGTGACAGTGCATGGCGTGCAATTAACTGATGCATGTTGGTTGTCCTTGACCCTGAGGATGATCAGTTAACTGCTCGACATTCAGGGATCCAACTGCCGGATGATCTGGTGAGAGCTCAGTGACATTATATTGGCACAATAAACTATTTTGAGCCTATCATTACGTTAGATACTTAAGCATGCCCGTATTAATAAAATCAAAAGTTTCTGGGTATATGTTTACCTGACAAATAATATTTTCCTCAATTTTTCTGTATTTATTTGATCTTTCACATTTTGGTAAACAGAGTATCTGAAGTGTAAAACAGACCAATGCAACGTAAGGCGCTAAAGTACAGTTATATATTTTCGTCAGTGAATGTTGATTACTGTTCAACAGATGATGAAAAAGGTGGGTCTTTCTACATATTAGTCACTAATTGTAAAAGTTCAGTGAAAATTCCGTTAAAAACGAAGGATGGCATATCCAGGTTTCTGGTCGTTTCTGTTTTCTTTGTTAGACAGTAAGAATATTCTTCTATGTTTGAAGATTTCGTTATGTTTTAGCATTGCCGATTCACAATACTCGATATACTGTACAACATGAACCCTTCACCACCACGGTTCCTTCGGAAATCACTAATATTAGTCAGAAATCACGTAACAGATATGAGATTCTCCTTTTAACTGAATGTGTCGCCATACAGTCCATCATAAATATCACGGTGGAAGATGAGGTTTGTTAACAAAGAATTCTTTGTCTGAAAACTGAATGTCATAATGTATATGTATCTTATTAAAAATAGTTTTCGATGCGACTTTTTTTTACTTAATATTAACCTTGACTGAGTAACCAACGGTTTGACAACTTAACTCGAATAACACTTTTTTTAATGAGGCTGATTGTTTGGTATTTTTTACATATTGATAACATAATACATAATACAGTATGCAGCCAAAAGCGTAGTATGAACACTTCAGTCGATTTCAAAACATCTTACCACAATTATGTCACTTTTATTTAAAACAAACCTGTAACTCAACGAGTTTAGATCATGTTGGTGGCAAGGATTTGTAGATAAAATAATGCTTAGTGTATAGGTCCTCGGGCTTTTTTTAACTCTAGATAACTGCAGACAAATTAGCCAATTGCCAGTCGTTCACAATATTTTACTCAGAAGTCGTGATAGGAGTATTCTACCTCATTATATCTTTAGAGTTGATCAACATCTTGTAATTAGCATAAGTAATTTGAATCGCTGAAAAATTCTTATCATATTAGAACAATTACATGAGCGAAGAATATCCTTTCTAATAAGTTCTCATCAAGTTCCACAATTATATATCCAAATTAATACTGCATACAATTGGCCAGGTTTATGGCGAAATACATCATTTAAGAAATGTAACATATGAATTAAGGGTTGTTTGTCATATAAAATATAACCAAATGGTTAGTGTTGGGGTGACTAATAGGAAGTATTAACTTGGATAAGCCTATATGTTAAATCGAGTCGTGAAATAAATGACTATATTTATTTTGATCAGGATCTCCAAGTAACTGTCTTCGGCTCTCCTTTCTAGTTACTACCAAGTACTATTTTATGGCCTTGACGTCCGCCTCCAATGTTCAAAGCTATGTGTTCTGTCTTCTTCTCTTCCTTTTCTCTTGAACATTCCAAGTTAGAGCTTGCTTCAAAATACCGTTTGATTATTTGAACAAGGTATATCCTGTCCACCTTCAGAGTCTGTTCCTCAGCTGGGAGATGCTCTGTTTTCTGCTTTATTCGATTACTGTCGGTGGTCTTCGGCCAATAGACCTAGAATACTTTGACGATTTCCCCAGGCACTTCAGTGTCAAAGAAGGTTCCACAAGATTCTCCTATACAAGCTGCTGAATGTTTTCTCATTATCAAGGAGTATATGGATAAGTTCCATTCAATCGATTGCTCAATGATGAACCATGGTATCGCAATTTGATACAGGATTGATCCGTACAAAAGTCAGCTCGTTGATCTCAAAGTTTGGAGTCTAATCAATCTTTCATTTGGTTCATCAACGCTCGGTTAAAAAGCTTTCCTGGTACTGATAGATGTATGACACCTCCGCAGTTCTCACATGTATTGGGATCTCCTTTATTCAGTATCTTTCTAGTCTATTAGTACTTGTTCCTCACCCCAAATCTTTCTGAAGAGAACTGTGCATCTTTTTAGGTACCACTATATTCAACTTCAGTACTTCAGCTAGTATGCTCTATGGCCCCACTGCTTTCTCACTCTCGACCACACTGACTTCTTTTGATGGGGTAACATCTTTAGGGAGGTCTGTATACATTGTTCTGTGGCGCTGATCTGTTTAAGAGCTATTCAGATTACTATCCATTTGTTTCACTGCTCTTGAACTTCAATGGCTTGGCTACTTTATTTGTTCTTAACTGGTCTCTTTGGTCTACTACATTTTCGTGTTAGCTTCTTGGTTGTATCACATAGTTCTTATATATTTTTTTGTCTCATCCCTTTTTCTATCATAGCTGCTAAGTCTTTCACACAGTACCGCTTGTCAGCTCTAATGCACTTCTTTACTTATTTGTTTGCTGACGTAGTTATCCAATATGTTGGTTTCCTCTACTTCTGTTCGGCTACTATTGACTTTTATCTTCTAGTTTTTCTTTTCTTGAATCCTGCCCAGACTATCGACAGAGATCCACTTTCCATCCTGTTGTCTCTTAACACGTCACCTGGTTTGTTGAGTTTATGCTTTTTAATCCCATTCTACTTGTTTCCCATATTGGTTCCCTTCCCTCCTAATAGATCCTGTAAGACTTGAAACTTGTCGAGAGTTATCTTGAATTCTCTGAGTTCCCTAGCACCTTAAATGAAGGCTCAAATTAAACTTTTGATTTTCCGTACTGTAGTTCGATGAATTCGACGAAGTTTTGTCTTTGCACTTGCGTTGGAAAATTCTGCCCCTTTATAGCCATGCTACTGAAAGAAAACGCATTTACCAGTCTTATTGCTTTTTCTCAGTCCATGTTACTCCTTGATGCGTTCATACCTAGTGTTTCTTGCCCCGACATTGTCACTTGAGTTTCTCAAAAGAATGATCAGGTCTTTTACTGGGCACTTCTCTAGAATGAACTGTATTCTCATAAAACAGGTCTTTATCATCTTTGCTGTCATCATTGGTAGATATGGAGCACTGTATGACATTTATTGTGATCCATTCCTCCTTTGTTTTGAATAATTCTTTAGTGATCTTGCACTCGTATGTCTCCCATTTTTAAAGCGTCTTTGATGCTTTATTGGGCTTCACTAGTGTAACTCCTCATATATGGATTTTCCCCCTCATGATCAGAATACATTTATCCTAAAGTTCGTCTTTTATGTCTAAATTGTTTCCAATGAGCTTCACTCACTTCAAGCGCTGCTAGCTTGCATCTTCTCATTTATTAAGCTATCCAAATGACCACCCGTGTCTCCCATACGGTCCGGACATTCCACTTGTCGTTACTAATTGTCACTCGGTTTGTCAGAAGCGATGAGGTTGTTAACCATACACCCAATTCTCTTCATTTACTCAGGCTAAACTTATATCAATCTAATTCCAAGCTGACTTTTTCTGTAAAATTATCAATCTTCCACTTTTCCCCTATTATCATAGCATATTAGTTTTATACCACATTTTCTGGTTACTTAAGTTTCCAAAACAATTAGAATGAAAGTTCAAAAGAGAAGGTATTAGATTTTCATTTCTAAAAAAACTACCTCATACATTACTACAAAATCACAATTCTACCGAGTGATATTTGCTTAAGTACCACTTACACTAGATATTTGAAAGTTTAAAGTGACATAAGTGTTTTGAGTGTTCATTCTTAATAAAATAGCTTCTCCTTAAAACTCAAAGTACTTAATTAATTATTTTGTCACCCATTTTAGACTAATTGTAATTCAGCTCAAAAGTAAATAACGAAAACATTAAAGTTGTTCTTAGGAGGACGAAGATTATCAGAGGGACTAATTGCTTTAAAGTTGTTTATATTAATTTACAAAAGATAAAGATACAGATAAATTGTTTTCAGGATGAATTTCACAGAACATTGAACTCTTTATACCATTGTCTTTTTCCATATGTTTTGTGTTACAGAGATGTAAGAATTCAATTTTTATACTAGAATTACTAAAGTCTCTGAGGATTCATTCATTGCGACTTCAAACAATGAGTCATAAATTCAAACTCAATCCAACAGCCCTCTCCTACGCAGTTACTGTATATAATTAATAAACCAAATCTATTCAGTGTTCACTTGCAAATTTTTGGTGGGGATAAATTCTTTTACCTTTTCATAGTGATCCATGTAACTCTCCCAGAATAAGCATAAGCAAATAACACATCACAAAATGTAAAGGCATACTCTTACAGAAATACATAAATATATCATCTTCAGTGTTGTAGCATATCTTAACTTGTTCATATTTAATTCGATTCGAAATAGATTGGATTATCCCGTTGTTAATATTGTGATTGAAATATGATCAGTCTTGGTTGGGATATGTGCATCTTATGCGAATTGTTTCGATATAGCCATTGTAACAAGACTGATTAAATTCCAGTCGAAATATCAACAACAAGGTAGTCCAATCCAATTCAAATTGGATTCAAACTCGTAACCGTTGTACAAGGGAGTAACTATCCGGACTCGGTGGTTAAGTGGATCACACAATGGTGTTTAAAACGAATAAATCTGGGTTCGAGCTCTGGAGTGTACATCAGCTCAGGGATCCATGTACACCCAGATGATGAGTCCCAGTTAGGATAAGACGCGCGTCCTGTATCCCATTGTTATCCCTATTCCATCCATTTTACAGTGTTCATGTTCAAGTTTTATCGTTTCTGTGTCGTAGTGTGAATATTTTTCACTGAACAGATCAGCCTCAAAAATAACGAAATGTAATTTAATTGGACCGTCCTTTATTTTTCTTTCATTTTATGAAGGAAAATAATATAAGTTCAACTATGTATCTCAATAGAACCTTGCAAAATAAGATCATTGTGAATGGCACATGTGAACAAACAAGACAGGATCTGACAGTTTCATGGTCGCCAAATGTCGATTTCTTAGACTGGAAACTTATATTTGTGTTTGGAGAGGATTCTGAAAGATATGACCTGGAAAGCATAGGTATTACTTATACAATAGATAAAGGTAATTAGCACTTTCTTTTTCTCTCCTCTTAAAGACAAATTCAATCAAACATTACATTAGAAAAAATATTTAAACTTTGGAATGCCAATAATAATATATGTGTTGTAGCTATTGAACGAATAAGTGTTTACCTTATTTGCTAAAGATGATTACGTAGGCAATGTGTTGAACTTGAAATAATGTGTAACTAATTATTAACTATTTAATTCTAAATTTTTCATTAATACTAATCTATATACTTCATGTTTTGTTAGTTTATCATGCTAACACCGCCCCTATTAGAAGTGAAATGAGGTTAATCATTTCAAATGCAATTTTATTATACAGGCAATGAAATTGATGCTATTACAGATAGAGGTTTGTTCACTATTCCTGTCGGTGGATACTATGAATGTGCCAATCATTTACATAGAGAACTATTCGTGGAAGATAATGATAACATAAAAATCAATATTTATTTTTTAAACTCATCAATGGAAGCATTCAGGCTTGAAAATCGTTCAGAATTTATGGGTCTTGGTGAGTGTACAAATATAAAGCTATTGTAAGAGACCATTTAACTATAAGGTAAAAACTTTCGAAGCCTTTTTTTTCTACAATTATATTGATTGCATGTTTATTAAGTATATTGATTGTATCATTTTCGTATTACCCTTGTCTTAAGCTTTTATTTCAACAATAAATTGGTGCTATAGAGTTTTCAAAACATTGCTTAGAATCAATTATCTGTGTACACGGTACTCCATTTTTTCCATCATTAAGGTTGTTGTTCCGTGTTGATAATACTACTCAATTGGTTTGCTGCGTGGTCTGGTCTTGTATGCATATAAATGAATGTCTGAAATATTATAACGATCCTTACTGGTGATCACTGCTCTTGTGTTCTTCCTCTTTGTTCGCGGCCAGTTAGTATTGAACCAACCGTCAAGCATAGAGTATCAGTCTCCCTCATCCTTGCTGCGTATTAGTTGCTTAAGATCGTCTACACATATTGGTCGGTTGTAAGACTTAACAAAAACATTTGAAAATATTCCACTAAATGATTTTTCTCTTAAAAACTAGGTTTTTCCCTTAAGCAAATAAATATTTTTCTTAATAAAGTTTATTTTTTTATAAATAACATGTATTTGTTTAGCAGACACTACCATCTAATTGTTATATCTTGTGGGACGCGCGGATTGGAGAGCAGCGAATTATCGATCGGAACAGTGACGCATACAACACGTGCGAGCAGCCTAGAGTTCTGATTGGTCCTGCTTCCCTGTCTAGCCCAGCCAGATGAGTCCAGAACACAAGTCTCAGCCTCGGAGATATGAATCGTTATATTTCAAACATACTCGGTTTATATATCAATATATCAACCAGACAGACCACAACGTACCAATAAAATATGAAACAACATTTGTACAAGCATTAGCCAGATGTGGTTGTGAATGAGGGAGATAGGAATCAATCGATAGGGCATAACTCAAGAATAGTAAATCGTATAATAATAGTTCATAGGTCAAAATAAAGCTTATAATAAGAGGGACATAGATACGAACAGATTAGTTACATAACAATTATACGATAAAAATATACTCGTAATATCGGTCCATAAATGGGTCCCAAAAATTACCATTCACTATTCTTATCGGGATACAACACTAATTAAAGTTATGTTAAACGTGATAGAGTTGTCCATTAATGTTGGGATAGTAGCATAGTTGTAAATCGTACTGGAAATTCCGTGGTTACACAGGTGTACAAGTAGATAATAAGTTCAATATTTTAATATAATGACTCATTTGTTTAATAAAAAATTTATCATGACGTAGGATATACAAACCTCGGAAACTGAACTTCCCATAAATTGGTACATAAAAAATGTATTATTATTTTATCGCTATAAATGTTACCTAATATTTATAAAAATGTTCGGTTCTCTTCATTATTCATTTAGTTTATTAAAGAGAACAAAAAGTTCTCGTCGAAATCATAAAGAAATAAACTAAATGAAAACGGTTTTCGACAATGCAAAGTGAAGCAAAAAAATAACAGAAAGTTTGGACTGATTTTAATTCTGATCATTAATGTATCAAACTGATTTTCTCATTCCTCCAAGTTCTATATCACATACATATGCGATCTTGTTAAGTATGCTTCCATTAATTCCAACTAGATCTGTTATGGAGTCGAACTGTATTGTTAGTCGTACTAATTTTCTATTTAATATAGATCAGTGTTTAGAAATTCGATAATTTAACAATCTGATTTTCTTAGGTACGAACTGGAAAAAATCCCGAATAAAATGCTCGGTATGTTTTATGACATTATCTGTTATTGAACCATTATATTAGAATTAATATAAGCTACGATATATGGAATGCTTCTGCGTAACGAAAGAGAGGATCTATTTTAAATAGGAAATTCTGATGGTGCTATGTTCGCTCAGCTGAACGGTTTAATTGTAGAGCTTTCAGTCTCAATAACATTTTTAACGTTCAAATAAACTTGAATTAACCTCCAGTGATTCTGTCCAGAAAGATAATGGAACCCTTACAATTAAATGATCGACGCGATATCACCAAATTATTTCGAAATAATTACTTATAGATTGTCTAATTTCTAATATTTTTACACATTTTTAGCCATAGACTGTCCATTGAGTATCCTATGGTTAAAGAAGGTTCCAACAATTGTATGCATCACCCTACTTCTGATAGGTCTTGCTATTCTTTTAATATATTTGTGCAGTCGTCTTAGCAAACGATCAGCATATGAGACAATTAGATAATTATATATATATCTTATCATAAATTTCAATGAAATGCTTTTACACAAACCATAAATAATTCTAGTTTGAGATTTGCTTATTATTTTCTGTATCTCATTCTTGATATTTTTGTATAATCAAGTGTAATTAATTATCATCTTTTCCTTACTTTTATTAAACAGATTATTTCTTTATTACTTTATGAAAAAATAGCATATATATTAATACGTTCGTTGTGTAATAAGGTCAGGAAAACAAACTATGTACCTACACACCGATGATAAAAAATTTGGGAACTTACTCATTTTTGTTATTTTATGATAACACCTATTGTTCGTAATGTAGAATCTTACTTGTAATGACATTTAAAAAAATTATTACAAATGATACCAATATTATTATTGGTATTAACTTTGTTTTCTTTTGTCATTTTTCCCATTAGTTAGTTTATTGTAAGCTATTACACAATTTTCTAAACATTCTTTTTCCTTACTGTTGCTGCTATAACATGCAAATATATGACCATTTATTTATTTATTTATTTAAACACATGAACATTGGTACAGGAAGGTACCATATATATATATATATATATATATATATATATATATATATATATATATATATATATATATATATATATATATATATATGGAATACTTCCCGGAAGCCCAGACTGAAGTAGGTGGTTTCCTTAGGGGGCCACTCCCCAAACCTTTGACCCAGAGGTCTAAACCATAAGGCAGTAGAGCAACGTTAGGAGATTCAGTCCCACGGTAGGCAGTAACCAACGATAGGTTCATACGCCATTTGTTCCCTCAGGGTCCTGGAGCCCATTAATTTGGAATCAGGGTTTTCCAACTCGTCCTTGTCGATCCTCTATATCCACCAACCCCGTTTAAGCCACAGATATTCGCTTTTCGTCCTCTCAATTTCGTAAACAACTCTCCCGTCGCGAAATGGCAGTGATCAGGACCTCCTTTACATAGGCTGTATACGCGTGACCATGTAAGAGCATTTCGAATGGGAGAGCTGACTTTCTCGACCCTCGGCCGGGCCAAGGCAAGCCCATAAATATAGTGTTTCAAAACAGTAAAATGTAATTAGAATGATTGTCAAGAAAATGTAGATTTATTATTTGCTTTGATTTCAGCCATCTAGAATTTTACACGGAGCGAATTGTTATAAATGAAATAGTGAAACTGTAAAAATGAGCTGGTAATCAGACAAAAGCAGAATACTGAAATGTTAACCACCATGTAAAGTAGGGCTGGGATAATGATTGGAATACTCAATGGTTCGTTTGATTCCTACTCAAAAGTGCACAATCGGAAATATAAGGTTTCTTATAATTGAATGCATTTTCAACTTAACATTCTGAATTACATCATCGCATGAAGCATTATATTTAATAGTACTGATGACAAATAAGATATATCCCTTCCGCTTAACTCTTATTACTAATACATATTTTTTTGAAATATATATATATATATATATATATATATATATATATATATATATATATATAAATATGGCTTAGAAAATCACATTAAAATTTAGATTTTTAAAATTGTAGCTGTAATATATCTTTTATATAACAGAAAATAAGAACCATCAAACATTCAACGATGTCATACTGTGTGATTTGTTTTATTTTTACCGTATATTTTAAAAAATCAAAGCAACATTTTATCGACTAAATTATCTTAACCACCCATCTATCCAGAAAAAGTTTTGACCACATTTCGTTTCAATTCATTAGCTATTGTTGATAATTGTTTACCATTTAGAGTAACAGTGATACTGTTATAGTGTGCTTTTTGAAGTTAAGTTTGTGTGTATCGTTTTAAACAATACATACTGTAGTTCGCGGTCATGAAGCGTTTACGTAACAACGACCTTAAAAACACAGTTCTATCGTGAATCAAGGGATTTACGTTACAACATTCATTAGGAGGCCAATTTAGATTTATTATATTCTGCACGAATATGTTACCGCTACTTTTTACTTCTGGTGATGAGTAAAGGTTGGTTTTGACTTTGGTCTTAAGCATATATTTTGACAACCTTTATGACTAAAAGTGATTATGCAAATAAAAATTTCTTTCACCTGACTGGGAAAATAAACTCGACGCATTAAGGTAATGTCACTAATATCCGTTCGCTTCTAAATACATGTTAATAATGGTAATCAGGTGATTACACATGTATTAAATCTATCCTTTGAATACCATTAAATAGTTGGGAAAAATTACCTTATAACTCGTTTGGAAAATTCTTTTTTTGAAACTATTGTAGAACCAGGAAACTCGATTAGCAATCTTATACTGCTTAATACGACTAGAACAAAACTGTCTACTGCAAACACACTTGGAGACTAAACCATGCTTCAACATTTTTATCGTATACAAAATAACTTGAACATACAAAAATATAGTGGTAATGTTCACCACTTAACGATTTATTATAACCAAAATTCAGTCAAGTGAATAGTATGTTAAGGAAACTGGTCCGCTAACGAGAGCGAGTATCCTGAACTTATATCAGTAAGTGAAAGAATCCATGATAAAATGTCAAAACTATCATTGTATTGTATAAGATAAGAATGAATTATTGATGCCTAAACTAAGAAACGAGTCAATGTCTTTTTGTTATACATTTCTATTGGAACGTATTTCTTTAATCAACTGATTACATAAAAGTCTAACGCAAGCTACAAATAAAAACACAAACCACCGTATTATAACGCCAGAGATATATTTTATCTAATTTCATATCAAACAAGATAGTTACAGTATTTCTACCACCATGTGAACAATAATCTGAGGCATTTGGCAATAGAAATGTATACGACCGAACCAATCAGATTCATGATTGTAATATTAGAAGTTTAAGGTGGAATTCAAAACTCTAATGGATAGATGTAACTTGTTAAGAGCTAGATAAGAACTCATCAGAATTTGCCAAATTTTCACAACTTAGATGAAGGAAATTGTTAAATATTATGCGATTAACGCAAAAGAATGAACTTGAGCTATCCCTAGAACAACGATGGGAAATTAATAAGTTTTTCGGAAGAAAAATTGTAGAGAACAATTAGATTTAAAGTACAAACACACTGACAGGATTTTCGGAGTTTTCTGTTAGTTTCTAGTTGGTACCACACTCAGATGGTGGATTTCTGTATTTTGGTTAAATGAACTTTTGACTGATAAAATCGATTAATAGAATGCTAATCGATAGGTGGGCGCAGTGTTATGTCGTGTCCGAGAGATGATTACTCATCAGATCGTATAAATGACTTAAACCTCAAATGATTAAACATAACTGACAAGATCACTGGTCAGATGAATGGTTTTTCATGTTACAAAATACATGTTTATATACGAAATATGGACACAATAAACATTATAAAATCCCTTAGGAGATTGGCTTGTAGACCGCTCATTCCTTAATCAATAAGAACCTGTCAGGTCTAGACTTTTAACATTGTTTCACAATCAGATTTGAGATACATCCTATATTTTTGTGTGAAATCCATACTTTCATCATAAGTAATGTTGTCCCCAAATGCCCTGGTACGGCCGAGAGTGGGGATAGTCCGATCTCCCTCTCGAAATGCTCACATGGCCACGCGTATATAGCCTCTGCTAGGGAAGTCCTGCTCAGTGCCTTCTCGTGGCGGGGGTGTTGTTTACGAAAATGAGAGGACGAAAAGCGAATATCCGGTGCTTTAAGCGGATCCCAAACCAATGGTGCACATGGGCTCCAGTATCCTGAAGGAACAAATGGCGTATGAACCAATCGTTGGTCACCGGCTACCATGGGACTGCATCTCCTTACGATGCTCCCCTGCCTTGTGGATCAGATCTACAGGTCGAAGGTTCGGGATGTGGCCCCCTAAGAAAACCACCTGCTTCGGTTTGAGCACCCATGCAGTATCACAGCCCTCACACATATCAAATGAGATTTGTGTGGCGCATAGGTATTTGGTGCCTCCTTGTACCAATATCTATGCGTTAAAATAAATAAATAAAAATAAGTAATGTTAGTTAGCGATAAAAACCCTAACCATGATTCAAAACACTTAACTCTTACCTTATAGCATTTTTATTTAATATTATAAAACATTTATACGAAAAGATTTGTTAATCGTGTCAAAACTATTCTTGTCATTCTATTACTATTTTATCATAAATCTGGGCCCTTAGTGGGTTATTAATTTGGAGATTAGAAACAGTATCCTTCGTTCATATATTTGTGTTTCAATGTGATAGGAATTCACCAATGTTTTCATTACAAAATAAGAAATAAGAAATTATTTATAATCGACACTCACACTTTATGATTTAATCAAGTACTTATTAAACAAGTCAAATGACGAACTTACAAAAATACAATACATAGTTTTATATTATCAATTACGTCAAATTAATTATCCGCATTTGCCAACAATCGAAATTAATATCTTACATGATACTTGGCAAACTACATCATATTCGATGAAGGATCAGTCATTGGTGTTTTGAGTTTCTACAGATTGTTAGGAATATAAACAAATGTTGTTTGCAAGATATTAATTTTAGTTTAGTGTTACGTAGTTGTAGGATGTATTTAAGAAATGAACACGGCTTTGTCTCATCCTTAATTCAAATGCAAACAACATCACTTTGAAAACTAAAATCAATATCAATTAAAGTCACCCGGAAATACAGACTTAATCTATTCTACCTGCTATTATCGTGAACTTATACAGTTCAAAATAGAATTTAATAAATAATTTGCAAATCATACTTAATAACAATAAATGTTTGTAATTTTATTGTCGTCCAACGTTATTAAATCTCTGACTGATCAATAGAGACTATCCTATTTAAATTAAAATTTTTCACACATTTACACATGGAGTATTGGAAATGGTAATTCTTTTTCGAAATAGAATATGAAGATCCTTGAATGCTTTAGAACAAATTTGAAAATTTTCCGTCATAATGTTTGAATATTACTGGTGATTCGAAGAAACTGTATTCCTAGGTAACATATTATAATGACCTCAGATATAAATATACTTACACCTGTTAGTCTTCGTAGAGGAGCATAGAGCACCCATCACCACTCTTCATCCAACCCTTCCATGAGCAATCTTTTCCACTTGTTATTCATCATTTTCACATATGTTCTCTGGCCTTCCTCTTTTCCGATTCCCTTCACGATTCCAAGTTACAGCTTGCTTCGTGATGCAGTTTGGTGATTTCCGTAATGTATGTCCCATCCACTTCCAACATCTTTTTCTAATTTCCTCTTCAGCTGGAAGCCAGTTTGTTCTCTCCCACAGTAGGCTGTTGCTGATGGTATCCGTCCAACGGACATTGAGTATCTTGTGTAGACAATTGTTTACGAATATTTGTGCCTTCTTGATGATGGTCGTAGTAGTTCTCCATGTTTCAGCTCCATACAGTAGAACTAACTGTTGGTTGACAGTTGTTTTGAGTTGCATATTTTCTTCAATTGTAGGAATGCGGCCCTTCC